CAGATGGTGGAGATAGGCCTCCAGGTTGTCATGAAGCTCTGAGACGCCCCTCTCCAGGACGAAGAAGAAGCCAGCAAGGGAATCAAATTCTTCATCCTTTAACTATGATGGGATAGAATTACAAAGTATAAATTGAGAAATAATTGTAAAAATATTTCATGTAACAATAGTGTCTGAGGCTTTGTGGAAACAATGTGGTTCTTTCAACATGCCAAACATTTCGGTTTACACTAAGCATTGTTCTTAGGCAGTTACCTTTGGCACCATTCCTGTCTCATGCTTTATGTACTGGCTGAACCGGGCCGTCTTCTTGGCAATGCTGTGGCCACTCAGCCGATTGATCTTGTCCTTGATGGTCAGGTTCTCTGTCTTCTTGTATTTGTCAGCTGTGACAGTCAAGAGAACGAGAATAATGATGCAAATCGACTCACCTCAACTTTATTCATGTCTCTGTGCTGATGGATTGGCATGTTCTCACCGACTTCACGGAAGCGTTTGTATTCATTGATCCTGCAGTTGATCTGGACCGCAGTATGAGCTGTGTGCTCCAGTTTTGGGTAGGCAGGGTGCCCGGGGTCTGTGTGTTTCTGGATGGTCTGGAGCAGCAGTGGGTAACGGGCGATCCTCTGAACTGGCATCACCAGGAAGAAGCTCAGAGTGGATGCATTCACATCAGGACTGAAGACAGACAAGATTAGGGATCAAAAAAATGACAGGATTGTTGGGTAACACACTCGTTTATTTGTCTAGGACTCATTTTGCTCTCAACAGTGTTCAATTTATACACAACCTCGGTAGGTTGTGGTTTATGAACTTACGCAGATGACTTGACACTTCGGATCATTTCCACCCAAAGGGCCTCTTTCTGTTTGTAGCTGTTCTCTAGAGCAGTGATGTTGTTGTAGTTGGCAAGATACTCTTTATAAGCCATCTCTATATCTTGAGACAAACTCAGAAAAGAGTCACCTGAGAAAGAATAAGATCATTTATAATATACAACAAGATTTACATCTTTTCTAAACAACATACGCTGCTGTTCAAAAGTTTGAGGTCAGTGTTTAAAAAAATTATAATTATTCAGCAAGGACACATTAAATTGATCAAAAGCAACAATAAATACATTTATAATGTTAAACAATTTATTTCAAATAAATGTTGTTCTTTTGAACTTTTAAAGTTGTCGTTCTTTTAAAAAAAATCTTGGGAAAAACAAATCACAATTTCCACAAATTATTGAGCAGCACAACTGCTTTCAACATTGAAAATAATCATACATTTTTATTGAGCAGCAAATCAGCATATCAGAATGATTTCTGAAGGATCATGTGACACTGAAGACTGGAGTAATGATGCTGAAAATACAGCTTTGATCACAGGAATAAATTACATTTTAAAATATATTCAAATAGAAACCATCTATTTAAATATTTTAATAATATTTCAAAATATTACTGTTTTTACTGTATTTTGTTCAAATAAATGCAGCCTTAGTGAGCATAAGAGACTTATTTCAAAAACATTTTTTTTTTTTTAATCTTACAAACCCCAAACTTCTGAACAGTAGTGTAAGTGTATGGTTATTTAGACTGTCAAGTTCCAAAAAGGACACAAATTGAAACATTCTATACATCATCATTCCCATCTTGAAATTCAAGTTCTGGATTCTTCACTCAAGGTAAAAATATTTTGACCTGTGGGTGGGCATGACACATGGACAATGTGACAAGTAAACTGAAAGTGAACCAGAAATTCCAGCCTGTCCAGCTGTACTCACAGACAGTTTCCAGGTATTTCGGGTCGCTCTGATGTATCTGTGTCTGGTCGAGGAGGCTCAGGAGTCTGCTGGAAACATCCATCACTTCATCTATGTGCTGAAACATGTTCTCCAGGTTTGGGGGAGGAGGCTGCAAGAGACCCAAATAATATGATATTATCAAAGCTAAATCATTTAGTCCCATTTATGAGGTATACACTCAATAATAATAATATAAGTATAATAAAAAAAAAAAAACATTATTTCTGTTTTATTTCTCATTCCTTTCAGATGGATTCAAATAATAATATTAAAACAATTTTCTTGATTATTCTTTTAATATGTTGTTGTCATCATTATTTTTTATTTTATTTAAATACTACCTTTTTTTGCACATTGTTTGATATACAGTACATGTTTGCTTGGTCTTTGGTCTTGTCTGTTAATAGTTGTGACCTGTACGTAATGTAAGAACCAACACACACACATGGCAGGTTTGCTGAAAATTAATTGGATTTTTCAGTTTAGAGGCCATGTGTTAACATGTGTTACAGCTTTAACAGAAATAACTGTTATATTATCTGATTAGATTGTTAATGTTTATATTAATATAAGAATGATTTCAGAGTGCTTTAATTGTATTTCAGTGGTGATAGAAGCAATACGTATAAAACACAGAAAGCTGTTGGTCTTAAGAATAACACGTGTCACCATACCAGATAAATCAGGACTTTTACTGCAATTTAACCAATGTAATGTTTGAAAATGGCTGCTAGAGAACTTGTCTACCTGTAGTTTCTGCAGGTTGTTGTGGATGGTGACCGTACAGAGCTGCAGATGTTTCAGGTAGTTCCTCTCTGTCTGCACCAGCTCCTCTATCGCCATGAGCTGCCTCTGAGCGGCTCTCTCTCTGGCTGCTGCCTCCCGTGCCTTTCTCTCCTCTTCATCCTCTTCCTCCTCTGCAGGCTCATCCAAGGTGTCATCCATTTCTTTAGCTCCCTCTTTCTCCTCTCTGATCTCCTTCTCTGCCTTCAGTGTTACATTTGCCTTCAGGGAATTTGCCATAGCAGGGATGTCTAAAAGAAAAATAGAGGAAGTTAAACAGGAAGTTAAACATTTCAAATGAAATGCAATATGAACGTGTGATGGGGATGCACACATGTATTTAACCCTTAAAATATGCAATTGTGTCGGCGCCAATAGCCTTGTGGGCAGTGCGCCGACATATAGTGCCGTTGCGCTCTGGGCGTCCCAAGTTCGAGTCCCGGCTTGTGGACCTTTCCCGATCCCGCCCCCCTCTCTCTCTCACCTACTTCGCTTCTTGTCACTGCTATACTGTCCTATCAAAATAAAAATGCCACAAAAAAAAAAAAATGCAACTGTGAATTCTGTCATATGTACTTGGACAAAATACTGTAGCTTGCTTGATTCAGTGTTATTTTAATATTATTTGTATACTATTATAGTATTAGTTAATAGTGAATTTGTGTTTTTTATTTATATTTTTTTACATATTTGTTTTATTATTATTATTATTAATATTTTATTCAGCTTTAATTTTTTATTTCCGTTTTAGTACTTCAACTCAAACTCTAAAAAACAAAAATTATAAATTTTGCCTTAAACTAACCGAAATAAGTTTTTTTCAGCTAATATATATATTAGCTGAAAAAACTTATTTCAGTTAGTTTTCCTATAAACTATATACTATAATAGTATACAAAATATGTATGTATGTATGTATATATATATATATTTCAGCTTTATCTCAATTATTTAACACTTTTAAACGCATTACAATAACAATACTAGCTTGATTACATGAAAGCTCCATAATAATGGATGCAAACATTCTTACAGCTTTCCACTGATAGTTACTGAACATTTGAAAAATATGAACTCAAATAGGGAAGTCTCATTGAAAATGAATGACTTCCAATTGCTTTGTAGCGCCAATTAGCGGTCAGTATAAAAGCCCCTTAAGAATGCTGATCTTGCATTGCATGAACTCACCTTTTAAGCTCATTCATCACAAAGAAGGTAAAACTGATCATCAATCAAGCCTATTACACACACAAACCAGACATTATAAGGACCACTCATAAAAGGCTGAGTGCTCTGTATTGTTGCCTACCCATGGGGTGAAACACCATGTGTCTAAAGACGCTACTAAAGACAGCTTTTAATTGCCATTTAGTTCATTAGAATAAAATCATTAAAACATACATAGAGACCCACAGAGAAACAAACTCAATACAACTGAGGTCAAAGTCTGACAAAGCAAACTTTACTATATTTGTGTAGCCATTGATAATGAAAGGTTCATGTATCATCAACACCTCTGTTACAATTCCAGCTACACCCGCATGCACATAAAACTGCAAGCACCTCTACACAAACACCCTTAAGCACAAACTTCACCACATCCGTAGCCATTAATAAGGAAACAACATACTTGTAGCAAGTGCTCAAGGCCAGCACACTCAAATCGAAAACCACAAACTCAGCATGTAGCGCATGCAGCGCATACGCTCACGCACTGAGTGCTCTAACAGTGCTGCACTGCAGTATGACGAAGCCCTACTTAAGAAGGAGTAAAGAAATGACAGGCTTACTGCAAGAACAATCACAAGAAAACAACCAAATGCATCATTACCTTTACAGAATGGGAAAGACTAACCACTGGTGTCTCCTGCGCAGGCAAAATGAGGTGTGCGGCTTGGGACAGCCTGACCCAGACTCTCAGACTGCTGTAAGTTTGTCCACTGAGTCACACTGCAGGGCCTCATGTGGCACGGGTGTGTGAGGGAAGGGGGGGATGGGTGGGTCAGCTGGGAGGACTGAGCCGGGGGGAGGTGGGATTTTAGCAGTGGGGCTCCGGATAGGACCACTGCAGATACACACACTTTGATGAATACACAGATTGACTGCAGTAGCCTTTGGGAAGGAAGTGACGCCTGTGCAGGATGAAGCCGATTGGATGGCAGGAGTTCAAGAGCTGGTGCACAACACACACACACACACACACACACACACTCAACAGCAGTAAACAAAAGCCCCATGTGGCCAGGAAATAACTCGCCAACTTGATGGTCAGGAGCAAAAGCCATTAAACCAACTGTTTCAGATACAACTCTATGGTGTAAATGGACATGATGTGTTTTTAACATCGAGATTATAGGTTAAAATTGATACAAATTGAGACCATAAACCTTGAAGCTTATGGTCTATATAAGTTTGAGACCAGTGCTGGGTAGTACATGATTACATGTAATCAGATTCCATCAATCGAGTACTTGTAATTAGATTGCATTACATTTTAAAATACTTGTAATCAGACTAGTTACTTTTTTATTGATTCCATGATTACATAATATCCACACAACTCATTGTCTTTGGAAGGCTTTTGTCTTTCAAACACATTAAAACTCACAAATTCGCCAAAAACTACAAGTATGATCACACAAGCAAAATTTTGCGGGCAAAAAAAGGTCTATTGTCAAAAAGAGTGTTTATAATGATTAGCTACGATCACAACACGATCACGTCACACATCCTGATAAGAGCTGCGTAGGTTTCTGGATGGCTAAAGGCATGGAAATCATAAAGAAATGAATGATTCTGATTCAGAATTCTCAGAACGACTCAGTTCTTGAATTATTCCATTAATGATACTTTTAGTACTTCAGAGGAAGAAACTTTGGTTAAAGTTCTTAATAATATCCCTCAGCGAAATGTTGGCAAATACTTGGTTTAGTTATTATATTACCTAGCAAAGCAGGAACTTATTTAATTCTTACAATTGTTTACACAAATAATTTAGCGGCGATGCAAAAACAGTCCAATAGTTTGTCTTTGTCCTATAATTGGAACTTCATATTCAATAAAAATTTGAGGTAAATTGATAGGGTGAATTTTCATTTCATGCCAACTTTAAACTAGTTTCAGAAGATGTATAGCATGTTACACTGAAGATACTGCTGTCACTGCTTCAGGTTTGCACAAATCCTCTCAGACTGCAGCCTTATGTGGAACGTGGAGGTTTTTTTCAGTCTTTTTTTTAAATTTGTTTTTTAGTTTATTTAGTAACATAACACCAAGAAAAATACACACAACACTATACACTAGGAGTATGGTTTCAACATACAACACACCTTTAGTGATAACACAAAACATACAAGAAAAAGTCCTCTACTGACCTATATTAGCCATGGATTTCTACGGTGAGTTTTCATATAAGAATCAAACACTTTAATTCATGGAATGAACTGAATATGAAGAATAAACCTCATATATACGTCAAAACATTTGCACTTATAACATGATACATAATTAGCCCTATAATAAAACTATATTAAGAAACTCGACATCTGAGCAGTTATATTTATTTGAATCCATGAATACGAAAAAAAAAATACTTTTGTAAAAAAAATAAAAATAATTGTTACTATTTTCTCACACTCGTGTTGTTTCAAACCCGTAACTTTCTTTCGAGGAACGCAAATGAAGAAATATTAAGGAGGATGCTAGTGACAGACAGCTTTTCATTTTTAATACATCTTTTTCCAGACAATAAATGTAAATATTGACTGAGACTGTCTTTCTGTCCAACATCTCCATTTGTATTCCACGTTAAAAAGAAAGTCAAACGGGTTTGACAGACAATGACTGAGTAAATAATGACAGGACTTTCATTTTGAGTGAATGTTATGGCTGACACCGCGTGAAGTCTCGATTTTATAGTTAAATGGATCAGCTACACGTTTGCATCTCACCTGCGTTCTTACCTGTACGTGTTTACAGCGTTGATTCCTCGGACGCAGAACGGTGAAACACCGCGACCACAAACATGACAACGCTCTGTTGAGTTAAACAAATGAACTCGAACGCGACACTGACTGATGTTGCTCGCAAAACCTTCAGTATCACCTGTTCTTACGGTCCTCGCGCTCAGGTACAGGCCCCGCGTCACGCATTCCGATCATGCCGCGCGAGCGAGGTGAGCTTAATCAACAGAAGTGAGACAACTGCTTTTCTCATTCGCATGATAACCCGGATGAATGCTGCAGAGCTGCATCTGTGAGATGGCGCGTTGATTTCCTAGAAAGATTATCATCGATATCGATTAAACGCACGCACTGCAGTAGGGTAATAATGCAGATGACAAAGCGTTGTCAAGGTAAAAACGCGTGCTTCACCCCGGTTGTGCGCGAGCTGTTACTTGGGAAACAGAGACATCGCGTGGTCGCCTGGGGATGCTTATTAAATCTATGTAGATTACATCTAAATTTAGACGTTAAATAATGTTTTCGAAATTGTATAGACCCTCGTTGTATGTTTGTGTATAAAACCATTCATGCATGCCAGTCAAAGTTTAGAACTCACTTATAATATTTTAAATCTTAATTTTAAAACGGGTTTTTTTTTCTATACAATTAGATTTATAGACAACTACAGATTACTCGAGTGTTGTACCAATAGGAAACATGGAAAGTTTTAATATTCTGTATTTTAATGTCATTATGTCATATACAACTCCTACCCTTGTTTCATTTTAGCCATTAGGGGGGAAAAAACAATGATTTACCAACAAACAGATTTAAATCAGAACAGCAAATAAAATTGAAGACATACAAATATTGTAAAAATTAGTGCTGTCAAGCACTTTTGTTTACATAATGCCTTTGTACTGTTATGTGTATATGTATATATAAACGCACACACATGCATGTATATATTTAAGAAAAATATGTTTTATTTATATACAAAAATAGTATAAATTACATATGAATATATATATATATATATATATGTAAATATTTTTCAAATATATACATGCATGTTTGTGTATTTATATATACATAATAAATATACACATGACAGTACACACGCATATATCATGTAAACAAAAACTTTTATTTTTGATGTGATTAATTGAGATTAATCGTATGACAGCACTAGTACAAATACATGAAGGCTAGCAATTTAAAAAATCATAACACGTGACATTGTTAGTCATTTTCTAGTAGGTCACAACATTTACATTATTTTTAAACGTGCAAAGAAAAGGCTTGTGTGGATGAATTACATTTATTGACATGATCACAAATCAAATTATAAGCCAGACATTTTTTTTCTTACCTCAAAATTGCTTTTATTTTTTTCCTGTAAGTCCAATTTAAAAATCATAACACGTGACATTGTTAGTCATTTTCTAGTAGGTCACAACATTTACATTTTTTTTAAACGTGCAAAGAAAAGGCTTGTGTGGATGAATTACATTTATTGACATGATCACAAATCAAATTATAAGCCAGACATTTTTTTTCTTACCTCAAAATTGCTTTTATTTTTTTCCTGTAAGTCTTACTTCTAATTAGTTAAACGTATGGTGTTATTACTGACTGTCACTCCCTATACTGTACTTATTTACCTCTATTGCCATTTATAGTAGGCGTACAGACATACTTTTAAATAAAAGCACAAAGCGCAATAAATACACTGTTAAAAAAAAAGAAATGTTCCCTTTACATGCTACTATAGATTTAACAGTTTCAGAGCTACTTTTCCTGTAACAGCATCACAAATCTTCTTAAATTGTTCTTAGAATGGTCTATATGTTGACAGGGTAGCAAAGATATTTAATGTAACTTTTGCACAAGCAATTGAGAAAGCAAAAAATCGTGACTATGCACACATTTTATTTTCTGGCATTTAGTGTATTTCATACATAAATCTTCCACGAATGCATGTTAGATTCCAACCTCCCCTGCTGTGGTTTCCTGGTTATTGATGTTGGTAAATTGCAACTCCTTCCGAGAAAAAAAATTCAATTCGACACAAGAGAACGGAGGCTGCACACGCGTTACAGGTCAGCTTTACATTGCTATGGCAACAGATAACAGCCCAACCTTATAAAACAAACTCCAGCACACAGAAACAGCAACCTGTTATTCTGTCCTCTAACCACAACTGCTCTAAACAAGAGTAGGGTGTCAAGAAATTCCTTTTTAGAATGAACATGTTTTCATCCTGACAGAAAAATAGTAATCAAAAAACTTATAGTATATAATCATAATAAATCATATGTTCCAGGCCCAAACAACAGGCCTTTGAGAAATGATTGTTTTCTCACAGTAATGATATCACTACTCTCCACTTGCATACTGTGTATATTTAGTAGAAACATCTGTCTTTGGACAAAGTTAAGGAGAAATCCCTTAAGAGTGGATATTTTATTTAATTCAGAATCATTCATTTAAAATGAGTACAGCTGAATCACTCACTAGGAGACCAGAAAAGGCTAATTTAGTCCCTTGTCTCCTGATCCCCGTCATTTGTAGTGTGATGGTCAACAGCGGGAGTCACCTTTGTCATTTATGTTAAGTGCTGACCATTATGTCCTTTGAGGACTGGGAAATTAGTTTCTCATCAGGGGGTCAATTTAGGTAAGAAGTCTGACTCACTGAAAGGCCAATGAATGACAATAAACATTCTGTGCTCCATTATTCTCCAGGAGGGGGCAGTATGAGCAAGTAAAAGCATTTGGAAGTAACAGCAAATATTTCCCTACTGCCTCATTAGCTGACTGAACTAAGAGGCGTGATTTATTTTGATCAGTTAGCTGTTTTTGTTTATGAAAACGTTTTAGGAATATGATTGTCCGTTGCTTTTCATACACGCCATTGATTTTCATACTCTAGAACAGCCAATAGGCTGGAATGTACTTTTTATTTTTTTTTCTCTTTCTGTTTGAGGATACGCCAGGTCCAGTGAGTCAAGAAAAAGACTCAGCTACCTCTGTAGTTCACAAAAGAGAGAGAGAGAGAGAGAGAGAGAGACAGAGTCTGGAGTAATGTGCTTCAGGGCTTGTTCACAGACAGACTCTTACTTATGAGTTTGCGGAACATAAAGTCCTTCCAAATACCCTCCATAGTGCGAGACCCTCATATTGAGCGGGTTGTCATTGTCTGTCTGGTTTCCCTGCTGAAAAAAAACAGCTAAAACCAGCCTAAGCGAGTTGGCTGGTCTTAGCTGGTTTAAGCTGGAAGTAGCTGGTTTTAGCTGGTCTCCCAGCCTGACCAGCTAAAGAAGTGGTCAAAACCCTTCTAAAACCAGCCTGCTGACCAGCTATGACGAGGCTGGAGGACCAGCTAAAACCAGCTAATCAGCTTAGGCTGGTTTTTAGCTGTTTTTTCTGTTTGTTTCTTTGTTTGCTTGTTTAGATGAAACATCACTGTACACCAGTAAACATACTGACAAATCATTATGTATCAATGGGATTCATGTTTACTGACCTAATCATTTTCTCTGATAATATTTTATCAATCAAATCATGTGTATTTTCTATTAGTTGTTTAGAATCAGAACTAGCGATGCAGATTTGCAAATGAATCCCCATTTGCAGTCAAAGGGGTTTGCAAAAAGGTCTGAAATTGTTCGTGATTCAGTTTGATTTATTCGGACAGTTCACAGGCCCGACAAAAAATGACGGGATATTTTGTAAGATAGAAAACAAAAAAGCGCAGAACAACCTAGTTAACCTAAAGAGGCCTATAGACCTTATGCGTCAGAGAAACAAGTGCACAGCCATCTTTAGAATTTTGTCTTTGAACTTCCGTTTTTGCGGTAGCTCTGTATAGTTCTGTAGCATCGCTGCTGAAGAATTAGCTGGTGAAGTGGATTTACTTATTGTTGAGTTAATGAAAGTTGTCATGAACATTGTAATGTTTTGAAGCGGATGTCATGACAAATGTCAGTAGACCTGGAAGATTTTAAAACGAGCAGTTCATTCATAAATCAGATCTTACCTTCATGCTGTGGAAATATAATCCGGAAGACAGGAAGGGGACGGAGCAAATTTGGGATGGTTGCTAAAAGAATGATTGACGACTTACTGT